TTTTTTTTCCTATATGAAAGGACTTTTAAAAGTTTATGAAACTTTTAGTTTTAACAGTATTAGTTCCTTTCGGTATAAAATATTTTGAAATCTGCGTATAGTTTATTCATAATATGCATCTTCCACGAACTTTTGAAGATTCCCCCCCTCCCCCATATGTTGCTGGCTTTGGTTTGCTAACATTTGGTTAAAACTTTTGTTACCTTCGTGTGATATCTTTGCTTGATTTTGGTACCAGAGAAAATACTTGACTCACGTAGATGAGCAGAAAAAATTTTCTCTCTCTTTTTTTTTTTTTTTTTTTTCTGAAAGAGCTTATGAAGGATTGATATGACTTCTTTCAATATTTGACAGAATTGACCACTAAAACTACCTTGGCCTGGGGGTGGGGGACATATTTTTAATCACTTTTTTTTAAACTTGTTTTAAGTCATTGAGATGACCTATTTCATATTGAATTAGTTTGGGTACTTTGTGTCTTTCCAAGAGTTCATCCATTTCATCTATTCGGTCATCAGAAAAGCCAGGATGTGTTTTTCTATGCAAAACTGCGTCATGACTTTTCTGATGACCCAATACATGATCTAACCTGCAGTCGTAGAGTGTTCATAATATTCTCTTACATACACTTTAATTTCTGTAGGGTTGGTCATATGAAAGTATTCAGAGTTCATGCAAATGCATACTATGAAAAAACTACGCATGGATTTCAACTTTTTGCACCAAAATAAGCTCATAGTTGAATTCCACTTTTTCCATGAACCATTGAAGCCCTCTCAGCATGCTTCATTTTAAATAGCCAAGTTTAGTACTTCATGTCTTTTCTTTCTTCTTGATCAGTCCAGGCGAAGGTTTGTCAGTTTTGTTGATGTTTCAGATAGTCGAGTTTTGGTTTCATTGATTTTTTTCTTTTCTCTCTTTTTTTCCCCTGTTTTCTTATTTCACCAGTCTCTACTGTGATCTTTACCCCCTCCCCCCCCATTCTGCTTACTTTGTGTTTAGTGTGTTACTTTCTTTCTCTTTTCTACTTTCTTAAAGATGGAAACTCAAGTTATTTGTTGGAGATATTTTCCTTCTTTTCTGATATAGGCACTTAAGGCTGTAAATACCCATGGAAGCCCTGCTTACCTCCGCCTTACACATTTCGATATATTCTGTTTCGGTCTTTATCTAATTAAAGACATCTTCTCATTTTCTTCATGACTTCTTTGACTCAGGGGTTATAATCATATTGTTTGCTCTCCAAATATTTAGGGATTTCCCAGGTTTCTTCCTTTTGTTGATTTCTAATTCAATTAATTTGTGGTTGGAGAATATAATACTTTTTAAGCTTATTTATTTCTTCTGAAAGAGAGATAGATACCCCCAACACGGCCTCCATACTAGTGTACCCCTAGTCTCAGCTGACCTGGATCATGAGCTTGTATGTGCCTGGCAGGTCCAAGGAGGTTCTAGGACTCAAACCCAGGACCTTTCCCAAGTGTGTCTAGTTGTACTACTGCTGTGCTACCATGTGGACCCTAGAATACACTTTCCATGGTTTTATTCATTTTTAATGTATCGCGACTCGTCTTACAGCCTAGTATGTAGTCTATCCTGGAGAATGTACCAGGGAGTTTGTAGAGTGTGAGACCTTTGGGGTGGAATGTCCTATAAATGTTTGCTAGGTCAAGTAGGTGATAATGTTGTTTAAGTCTTCCATATCCTTGCTGATTTCCTTTCTAGTTGTTCTATCACTTATTGAAAGTAGAGTCTCGGGACCAGCAGTTAGCGTAATGGCTATGTCGCTGGATTCACACGTAGTCGACTGCGGTTCGCATCCTGGACCCAGTGGCTTAAAACTCACGCTGGGCATGTGTGCGTGCGTGCCCAAGATCCCGAGAGGAGCATGGAGGAGAAGGGATTGTGGTGTGACCATCCCCCCTGGGGGGTGATTTCTCGCTGTCTCTCTGTCTCTCTCTGTCTGGTAAGCGCGCGCGCCCTATAGCGAAAACCTCTCGAAAAAATAAAAAGTAGAGTCTTAAAGTTATTATTGCTGCATGGTCTATTTCTTCTTTCATTTCTGTCAATTTTTGCCTCCTGTATTTTGGATCTTTATTATGAGCACATTAATTTAACATTTTTGTGTATTCCCGACATACTTTATATGTTTATCGTCACGAAATGTTTCTCTTTGTCTTTGGTAAGACAAATTTATCTTTCCAGCTCTGATATAGTTACTGTTTACATGTATCTCTTTCTTATCCTTTAATTTTCAAGATGATATTTGTGTGCTTGAATTAGAGTGTATCTCATTTAGACAGTATCTATTTTGAATCTTGTTCTTTTAATCCAGTCTGACAATCTTTGCCTTCTGATTGAACTTTTATTTTTGGAGAGGCTTTTGCTATAGGACGCGTGTGCTTGCCATAAAGACAGAGACAGAAAGCGAGAAATCACCCCCCAGGGGGGATAGCCACACCGCAATTCCTTCTCCTCCAGGGATCCTAGGCACGCATGCACATGCACCTGGTGTGAGTTTAAGCCACTGGGTCCAGGATTTGAACTGTGGTTGACTACATGGGAGTCCAGAGATGTAGCCATTATGTTATCTGCTGGTCCTACTCTTGTTTTGATCAATGGTCCGAGTCGAAGTTGTGCACCTGGAGTTTAGGGTAAGGTTTTTATTCAGACCATGTCTTTCAGCTGGAGAAGTTAAAGTGTTCACATTTACTGGGATTACTAATATGGAGCGTACTGTGTTCATTTTGTTTCTTTTGTCATGTTTTCTAACATTTTTTCTCCTCTTGCCTCTCCCCCACCCTTGGTTGGGAACCTTTTCATTCTATTTTAATTCTTCTAGAAAGTACTCTTACATTTTAAATACTAACTTAAACCTGTACTTTCTATGAACATCCAGGTATCCTAAGCATGTCTTTTGTCCTTCCAAGGTGATGGCATGGAGGGCCTCAAATCTTCAAAGCTCAAGCCTGGGAGAACCCAGGCTCTAGGCAGTACCAGACTCCTTGTGGGCAAATGGCACTTCTGATTCTCTTGGGGCCAATCAGCGCCTGAGCCTAACTGACTGGGCCAGAGAAAGTATTTCAGTAGTGCGTAAGGCCTCTGCCAAACCACATGAGGCTAAGCTTTCTCTCTTACCTTCAGCCTCTGGACAATTTCCCTTACGTCCTCCACAGAGCCCTCTGTAGCCCGGAGGAAGATGTGGTCCCCTCGCCCATAGAAGATTTTCAGTGTTGAGGAGTCTGGGGTCCAGCCAATGACATCCCCACAGTAGCAGTTGAACACCACCTCCTTGGTGCGAAGGTCCAGGAGCACCACAAACTCATTGGAAATTCCCAAAATGCAGTCGATTTCTACCCCCTGGGCATAGTCCTGAGCCGCCACTCTCCAGGCGATGGCCCCCGCACTGTGCTGCTCAGCGCCCGCCCGTGCCTTTGTCTTCTCTTTCTTCTTGGAGGTCAGGGAGATGAGGTTGAATTTGCCAGTGGAGTCGATGGGAGTGTTGGAGACACAGTTTTCAGCCAGGTCCTTGAGGTACTCCTGGCGGGTCCTGGTGGCCATGGTGTGGAACTTGTCGGACTTGTGTGCAGCATTCTCAGCATTAATCACCTTGGCCAGCAAGAAGTCTCTGAAGACATCAGATTTGCGGAATGTGGTTCCGCTGGGAATGGGGGGGCCGAAAAGAGGAGCGTCTTTGGATCGGGTAACAGCCATACTGAGGAGGAAGAAAAATCATTAGATACTAGAAGGATAAGGACTAAAACTGTTTTTTCTTTTTTTTTTTTTTTTTGGGAGAGGTTTTTGCTATAGGGCATGTGTGCTCGCCAGACAGACAGAGACAGAGAGACAGAAAGCGAGAAATCACCCCCCGGGGGGATGGCCACGCCGCAATCCCTTCTCCTCCATTCTCCTCTCGGGATCTTGGGCACGCACGCACACGCGCCCAGCATGAGTTTTAAGCCACCGGGTCCGGGACTCGAAGCGCGGTCAACTACATAGGAGTCCAGCGACATAGCCATTATGCTAACTGCTGGTCTCAGGGCTAAGACTGTTTTAAGAAAAAAAATCTACAAGTGAAAATAGGAGTTTCTTTTTTTTTTTTTTTAAAGGTTTTGCCATAGGGTGCGTGTGCTCGCCAGAGAAGAGAGACTGAGAGACCCCGTGCAAGGGAAAGTGAGAAGTCACCTCCCAGGGCAGATGGCCATGCAATCCCTTATTCTCCATTCTGGAATTTGGGGCTGCACGTACACACATGCAGTGTGATTTTTAGGCTGCCAGATCTGGGACTTGAACTGTGGCTGGCCATGTGGGAGTCTAGAGCCTTTGCCAAGCCACCTGCTGGGCCCTAGGTTTTTATTTTTTAAGAATGGAAATCCAGAGGCCAGAAGATGGTGTAATAGTTATGTCACTGGACTTCCAAGTAGTTGTCCGTAGTTTGAGTCCCAGACCCAGCGGCTTAAAACTCACACCAGGTGTGAGCATACGTGCCCAAAATCCTGAGAGGAGAATGGAGAAGAGATTGTGGCATGACCTTCCCCCCAGGGGGTGATTTCTCACTTTCTGTTTCTCTGCGTCTTCAGTGAGTATGTGCACCCTATAGCAAAAATCTCTCTCTGGAAAAAAAAAGGAAAAAAAAAATCCCCAGAGATCGGGTTATAACATAGGTAAAAGCTGCATGGAACATAAATATATATATTTATATATATGTGCATGTGTGTGTATATATATAATATATATACTATACTCTGGTCAAATTAAAAAAAAAAAAGAAAAAAAAAAAGATAACATTTGGAATTAAATAAATACCCTTTCTCTCTGTCTCTCTCTGGTCAAATTAAAACAAATAATGATAACAAATGGAATTAAATAAATAAATAAATAATTCTATTAAAAAAAAAAAAAAAGAAGGAAATCCAAGGATCAGTAGATTAGGCATAATGGTTATGTTGCTGGACTCCTACACAGTCGACTGTGATCCAGCAGCTTGATACTAACGCTGGGCATGTGCGTGTGCATGCCCACGATCCTACGAGGAGAACGAAGAAGGGATTTTGGTATGGCCATCTGCCCAAGGGGTGATCTCTCACTTCCTGTCTGTCTCTTCAGTGAGAGCATACGTCCTATAACAAAAATCTTTCTCTTTTTAAAAATTTACTTATTATTATTTTTAATTAATTAATTTACATTCACTTCCTGAACATCATTACAGCATACAAAATGTGATTTCCCATCCAGAATATTCTACATAGTTGCTTAATCATACATGCTATTGGCAATAATTTTCCATTTCTAGTTTCATATATACACACACACACACGTATATATAAAGGTATACATATATTTTACTCCTATTTCTCACCCTCTGCCACTTCCCGTGCTCCTCTATCTCAGGTGTCTACAGTTTTCCATTACTTAAAAAAAAAAAAAAAAAAGAAAGAAAAAAGGAGTGGAAATCCACATTTGATTAGTAATTTGCTGGCTAACTAGAGAGGAAAATAAAACAAGTCTTAAGGCATATACATCTGTTTTTACTTACTATACAGTAGATGTCTGAATATCCACCAACATCAAAGGACAGTTTCCCAAGTATTATTCATTTCAGTTTTACATACACAGATTGTATGGTAGATTCGATTTTAATTTGGCAAAAACTCACTATTTCTTCTCCACTTCAAAGGCAGGTATTTTGAGCCTGGGCCTGGTCATGGGTCATGTGATCTGATCTGGTCAATGTCTGGCTGGTTTTCTTCCTTCCTTCCTTCCTTCCTTTCTTCCTTCCTTCCTTCTCCTTCTCTCTCTCTCTTCCTCCCTCCCTCTTCCTCCCTCCTTCCTTCCTTCCTTTTTTTGCTATAGGGCATGTGTGCTCACCACAGACAGCCAGATAGAAAGGAAGAAAGTTCCCCTCAATGAGGTCATGCCATAATCTTTTCTTCTCCATTTCTCCATCCTGTTGGGATTTAGGGCATGCACATGCACTCACACACATACACAAACATATACACAGACAAAGACACACACATGTCTAGATTTTTTTTTTTGAGAGGTTTTTGCTATAGGGCGCGTGCGCTCGACAGAAAGACAGAGAGAGACAGAGAGACAGAAAGTGAGAAATCACCCCCCAGGCGGGATGGCCACACCGCAATCCCTTCTCCTCCATTCTCCTCTCGGGATCTTGGGCATGCATGCACATGCGCCTGACATGAGTTTTAAGCCACCGGGTCCGGGACGCGAACCGCGGTCGACTACGTGGGAGTCCAGCGACATAGCTATTACGCTCACTGTTGGTCCCGCCTGGTGTGTTTTTTCAAGCCACTGGGGACAGGATTTGAACCCCGTGGTCAGCCATGTGGGATCCAGCTCCCTTAATATACTAGGCCATGGGGCTGGCCCAACGGCTTTCAAGCAAAGATTTTAAATATTTTGTGCCCTGGGCTTGCCTCCTATGCTCCTGCTATAGCCATGGGATGAACATGCCCCATGTGGTCTTCTGGGTCCAGAAGGAGGAGGAGGAGGAGGAGAACTGGAACCAAGCCTGGCCAGACCCAGCTGACCTGCAGAGCTGTGAGTCAGAAAGAAACAGTCATCGTTTGTGAGCTTCTGAGTTCTGAGGGGGTTTGTCACACAGCATTACTATGGGACTATCTGACTGATAAGGGACACTTATGCGATTTAGTTCTTTCAAATGCTTGTGTAGACACTAATGCCTTGTAAGCCATCTCAACCAGGGTGATTCTGAAAAGTCACTGTGACAGGAAGTTAAAATGGTACCCTTTCTGCTTCAGTTTTGACCGAGATGCCATTATGACAGGAATGGGAAAGTAACTCAGCGAGAGCATAAAAAGGAAACGTAAAACCCTGCTCCTCGAAACTCTTGAACCCATCACCGACTGTGCAAACTAGAGAGAGGGGGGAAGTCTGTGGAGAAAGTCGGGTGATGAGGCCCATTCTCTCCCCATGCCCACTCCTATTCCCGGGTAGGGACCTCCTGTGGGACTCCCACAGCAAGGAGGAGGCTGGGGCCTGTCCCCTGGCCTGCAAGAGCTAGAGGGCACGCAGAGAGCCCTGGAGAGCCTCGCAAGCAGCAGCCAGCTACGACCACAGCCATGTGGGATGTCTCGACCTCCCTGTTCTCTCTATGCTCCAACCCAGGGTGGGTTAGAACCTGGCAGCTGGCAGGGCTGGAAGAAAAGGCCAGGGGGGAGAGGGAGGAGAGGTGGTCGGGATCCCTATCCACTGAGGCTTCCAGCAGGAAGTAGCCCAGAGCCGGGAAAGAAGAGAAGATTCACTGATGAGTCGAGTTTGGAGATTTGATGATTATCTTGTTCTAATGAGCAAACTGAGTGGTGACTTGGTGGCCTTTTGGTAGACAATCAGAAAGGCTAAGGCATCTGCCAGAGTGTTCACCCAGGACAGGGGAAGATGGTTCTTACAGAGGGTTGAATGAAGCGGGTTCCATAAGAGTAGAATGAGTTGATGAAAATGAGCGAGCAAAAATGTAAAAGAAAAAAGAAAAAAAGAAAAATGAGCGAGCAATAAATTTTTCCTTTAACATGTATTGCGTGCATTCATCTTCTATAAAGTCTTCTATAAAGTTATGTAGCCTTGTGGTTAAGGTGAGCCGGATCCCAAATGGCTGCCTGTGGTTCAAATTCCTACCCCAGTAGTTTGAAAAACACACCAGATGTGGGACCAGACAGGTGGCATGGTGGCTAAGGCAGGTGGATCTCACTTGGCTGAGTACACAGTTTGAGTCCCAGACCCAGTAGCCTGGAAAACATGCTGTGCATGTGTGTGCATGCCCAAAACCCCAAACTTAGAATGGAGAAGAGAAAGGATTACAGCTTGGCCACCTCCCTTTGGGGGGTGGTTTCTTATTTTCTCTCTCTTTGTCTCTGTCTCTCGGTGAGTACATGCGCCTTAAACAAAAACTAAAAAATAATCCCAACCTAACCCAAACTAAAAAAACCCCCCCACACTGGGTGTACCTAAAACCTTGATAGAATGCAGAAATGCAGAAGGGACTGTGGTATGATTATGCCCCACCCAGGGGGGGTGTTTTCTCTCTCCTTCTCTCTCTCCCTCTCTCTCTGACAAGTACATGCACCTTCTAGCAAAAATAAACGAAACAAAACAAAAAAGCCCTCAATTTATGAGCATGGTATTAAGAGAAGAGCGCCTACAGTTTCTCTCTCTCTCTGTCTCTTTCTTTTTGCTAGAAGGCATGTGTGCTCACCAGAGTCAGACAGGGAGAGGAGAAAGTACCCTCCACAGGGCCTGGTCATGCTCCAGTCCCTTCTTCTCACTCCCCCTCCTTTTGAGATTTTGGGCACACATGCACACACACCCAGCATGTTCCTTAAGCGGCTGGGTCCAAGACTTGTACCATACAGTCAGCCATGTGGGTATGTATACTCACCAGAGAGAGGCAGAGAGGGAAAGTGAGAACCCACTCCCTGGGGTGTGGCCATGTCACAATCCCTTCTCCTCTATTCTTTTCTTGGGATCATGGGCACACATAAATACATGCCCAGCCTGTTTTTCAAGCCACTGGGTCTGGGACTCAAACTACACAACTGGTTATGTGGGCCAGTGTCTTAACCACCATGTCACCTGATGGTCCAGCAGGGCAATTTAAAAACAAGTCATTTCATTATCACGATTTTTAAAAGAATTATTTATTTAATTATTATTTTTTATTTTATTTATTTATTTTTT